TTTACTTCGTAAGTAATAACTCGCATTTTTACCTCTTAAGAACTAGCAATATCTTTCATACATTTTTTATTGTTCGAATGGTTCTCCATATTCATAAAAATTTTTTAAGAATAAGAATAGATTAAAAATATGCCACTTAACTAAAAAAATATTCTCCATATTCATAAAAATTTTTTAAGAATAAGAATAGATTAAAAATATGCCACTTAACTAAAAAAATACTTTTTTTTAAATTTTAAATTCTGTCGAATTTTAAGTCGGAGAAACTAGAAAATGCTATAAGATGGCAAGTTTTCAAAAGAAATTTTAAAAAATGCATTATAACCAAGGTTGTAATTGCTTATAAGTGGTAGGTGCCTCTCTTTTCATAAAATTAATAAAGTTATTAAGCACAATAACTATTTGTTTAATTCAAGAAAAAAAACAAGGTTAAACATAATTTAGGATCAAAAAATTAATGGAATTTAAAAATTAAAACAATTATATGAGCTATGCTGGACGAAGTGTCACTTGAACAAACAAATACCATGTGTTTTTATGAGATTCTAAAGTATGAAATTTACGCATCTATAGCAACTATTACTGGAACCAGTTGTGCACCATACATGAATTAAATGTCCTACAACTTTACTACTGTTACTTATCATACCAATGTTTTGTGTTCTAGCTGATAAATAAAGGACTCTGACAAATTACATAATGAATAATATCGTGATTACAAACCACTTCTATGTCTGTAACCTCAAAAACAGCCGTACTTGTTCGCAAGTTTCAATTATCATCATTAATTTTCTGCACAATTTCAGAAACATTATTAATAATCTATGCAGTTATCCAGAGTGATTTTGATAATGCCTAGCAAAGTACAACTTAGTACTGCAATTGAACAAACTTAAGATCTGCTTAATTTGCCCTAGGCATTTGTTTCTAAGCAGATCGTGGTATAATCATGGATGAATAAAACCAAATAATTGGATGAAAATGCTAGCAAGTTTCTTGCTGACCATTAAGTCCCTTAGAAACTTGAAAAACCAAAATTAACCGTTGAATAGTAATTTTCAGTTGAGCTCGAATTTAACAAATTAGCTACCCACTAATTACACCTCTAAGAACAATAATTCTGTAAACTGGAAACAATACTGTTGTGTTTTGCATTATGTGAAGTGATAACTTTATAATTGCATATCAAAAGAGACAATAATGGTAGAGCATTTTATTGAAGGTAACTTTCAAAAAAAACATTTTCAAACATCATTTATAATCAACTGTATGCAAAATAATGATACGAATCCTTTTCTTTCTCAAAATATTTACGTGAAAAAAAATCAGTTAGAAAATTTGCACTCGTAACTGTAACTCTTTCCTGCTCTATACACTTGGCTATCATTCTTCTAGTCATATTTTAAGTCATCACCAAGTTTGAATCTCAAGTTTCTGTAATACTAAATGCTTGAGCAAACATAAACATCAACCAGTTGTGCATCATACATTAACTAGATGTGCTACAAAAAAAAAACACTTATTGTAAGTATTAGCAAAATAAACATCATCAAATTGTTAAATTTACCTCAGAGATCAGAGTTCCAAAGAAATGCTCGAAAACACATATACAATAACCATTTTTACCATCTAGAAAAATAAAAGTCGTGAAAGACCCATTAGACACTTGCCTTACCCCATGACACAACATTGCAATAATGTATTTCTTCAAGAGACCAATTTTCCCTCACTTTCAAGACATTTCTAAGCTACATTTGTTGAGAAATTGTACTACTGTCATTTTTTTAGATCAATAACAGAAGGATCAATAACACAAAAATGCTCTATTACGATACCTACTGTAGCAGAAAAAGTTAACTTATTCTAAAACTATTAACATTCTAAGTTTTAGAAACACATTGATTACAACATTAGTTTTCCTTTCACTATGTCTATTGAAGACAACGATCACATGGGTGAAGTTGAATCCAAAAATTAACAGAAAAAACTTGTAACCATAAGGAATATTAGAATTCTCGACTAAATGAAACTCTGAATGATATAATATCTTACAAAAGCAAATTAGAACAGATTCGAAACCGAGAAAATTAAAAGTAAAGGATTCATTGGAAAATTTTTGTCAATTTTAAGAATCCTTTATTTTTCGATTAATCCCTGACACTACAAAAAAAATGGTTATACGGATTAAGTTGCTTTGGGAATGCCTGCTTAATTTACCTAATTTTCCATGACAAAAATATCGCGAAGAAAAACTTGTAGAGATTCATAAGAATCTCTTAAAAAGAGATTCATAAGAATGTGTGCTGTTGATCATCTTTCAGCTGCTAATTTCAGATCGAAACCAAGTAATGAACCTTTTAGAAGCTGATAAAGGTTGTTCAAGGCCACGAGAAAAATTAGCAGCAGCTTCTAGAGTTAGACGATCTCTTTCGCCTATCTCCTCATCCCTGTAAATACAATCCTTCAGCAAATAAGCAATCGGTTAACAGTGAGAAAAAATAAATGGCACTACGATTTCTCTGAAGTTTTTAAGAGAAGAATATTTCTGACTTTTCAAATCGAATCTGCAAACAAAATAGCGACAACGCAACGGACTTACTCGGCTTCATGACTTATCAATTTCTGTGATAAGCAATCTTTCTTGTTCACAAAGGCAACCAAATCTTCCACCATTTTATCAATTTTTTGCTTATCATCTTCAGTCTTGCAATCTTCTGAATTACAGCATAATTACTTATCAATCCTTACTCATTAAAAAAAAATATTTTTTTCTTAATTAAAATCTCAACAAAATATACGAGATTTGACGCTAAAATTGAGCATTTTTATATGACTTTGTCTGATTGAACTAACAATATATTATTTTTCACAATTTCGAATACATGTAGCATTATAAGATTAAGACCCAAAAACAAAGTTAAAGCGAGATAATGCATGATAAACAAAAAAATTATGAGAAACATACTTACGATCAATATTTGAAGCAGAGCTTAGTTCATGCTGTAACTTAGTTATTTGATCTTCCACCTCACGGAGCTGTTCCAAGACATTAAAATATTCTGTTCGCCTCACTATGGCATCTTTTTCTGTTAATAACCTCATATGTTCCTGTAGCAAACGCTCCTCTTCTTCTGATGAAACTTCTATAAAAGCGCATCTTATAATCTAGATGATTTCGATTTCTCTCATAAATCTGCAAAAAAATAGTACTAAAAACAATACAAACTTGTTTTCATCAGTTGGGAGCAAATTATTTCATCTTCACCAGAAACTTGAGCCAAACATTTTGAAAGACGACTCAATTCTGACTGAATTTTTCCCAAATCAGCACCATCTTTCTGAACAGTTATTTTCACTAATTTAATCTTAAGAATAAAAAACGAATCTCTGAAAATTTGTCCGTCAAAAACTAACAGAAAAATCTTTAAAAAAAGTATTAAAACAGACAGTTTTTTTGAAGCAAAAACCTTAATATGCTATTTTTTTAAACTTATTTTTGCTGTAAGTTCAAGCTACTAATTTTCCAAAATATATCACACAATCAATTGTTTATACATTCCGAGGTACTAATAAATTTTATGAAAAATCAAAATTACGAAAACTGAAGGCTTACCTCCCACTGAGAAATGAGCTTCCTTGTAGGTGTAACACTTACAGGATTTTTTGTGGTTTCAAGAGAAGCTGCCAACTACAAAGAAAAAATTGTTTTATTGAATAATAGCAAGCAAATAATAAGCTAAAAACACCACTAAATATGTAATTTAATATAAAATGAGAGTTCAATCAACGGTAAATTATCAGTAATTTATATCACAACACTAAGCAAACAACATAATTTGTTAGAGTTTCACAATTTCTTTGTCGGTCATGCACTCAAAAATTACCATATCATCCTTTTACTGCAACAAATTCTAAAATAACCAAATCGTTAGAGAAAAACACTATAGCCATATAAATGCTTATAGCGTTGTATTACGTAGAGATACAATACATAGCATATATATTACCAACCGCTCTTCCTGCAACTTTCGCTACTGTTTCAACCAATTCCTGACCGCGCATACTACCATATCTCCTAGCACGATCCAGTGTTACATCGAGATTATTCTTTCGAATCTTAATCAAGATTATATTTTCAACTAATCACTCCTTCATAGCTTTTCACAAGTATCTTAAAGTGAAACGAATAGTTGAAAATGATAAAGAAGCGCCAGTCATACAAAAATATTCGACTTTTAGATTCATTCTTTAGAAATATAAACTGTTCTACTAACCATGGCTATACTTCCACTCTGAATTGAGTCTAATATGAAAAGCAGTTACTTCACAGAACAACAAAGAAGATGTGATACTGTTTGTCTGCCTTAGTATAATCATAAATAATTGAAATAGCATAAATCAGCACATATTTTAAATCTCGTTATTTCAAATTCTGATTCATATTAACAACAAAAAAAACCCATACGTTGCTAGTGCTGCCTGTGAATCTTTGTGTCACTCGTTCTAATGGAGCTATTAGAGGTGTTTCATCTGAAAAACCAATCATCTACTCAAAATATTAGTTAACTGCGAAAAGATCTACAGTGCAAATTAAAAAGGTACATCTACAAATTTATGAACTAGAAGAAATGCACATTTTACTTTATTTATTTTCATTCTTGAAAAAAAAGCTGATATAATTATGCACTGTATTTCCTTTTTAATTCACTCGATTTTTATAAAGTTTCTATAGTATAACTAGAAGCAAAAAAATATTGTAATTAGATATAACTGATTTAAATTCCTCTTATTTGAAAATAACCGTCAACAACTACTACATATAAAGCGATGTTATACAAAACCCTAACACAGCATCTGCTCATTGCTTTATATACATTTAGCATGCTAACGGAAATATATATAAAGCAGTCACATATAATGACAAATTCAGTAGAGCTGAACCTTATATCACGTAACATACTACAAAATCACAGCTCACTATAGCTGATATATAATATGCACTGCCAAAAAAAGATTCATGACGTACTTCGAGCAAATTAAATTATCAGGTAGAATCAGAATTTTATTGATCAACATAGATGCAAGGTATATAGAATCAAACGAAAAATATGCAATGAACTGACAGAAATTTAAAAAAGGAGCACAATAAACATACATAATGTACGATGCAATGTTGAAGAGGGTTGCATTTTTTTGAAGCTGTGAATTTTCACGACAGGAGTAATCAATTCTATAAATACTAATTAGTGGACATGCATGAAAATATAGGATGCATGCACTGGCCTGAAGGACAAAGAATTTTAAGCATGCTTTTAGTTACTTCAAATTCAAATAACTTCTATGAGCACTTGGCAATTTGTAGTGAGATGAAAATGTTCTAAAAATATGAAAATTCAAATGGGGTTATTTTTATGATATTTAATTAGCAAAAACAGAGTGGATATGCAGAAACAGACGAAAATCCAATTTAACAAATAATCAAAGTTTAAAGTATAACATGAAACTACACTAACTACGTTGAAAGAAATACATGTTTTACTTGTTTATAGTGGATTGCTAGGTAAGTAACAAGACTGATTACAGATATAACAAAATATAGCACAAATAAAGAATTCAAACTATGCGCAAAAATAACTAGCATTTCTAATGAAACGCATGAGATATTTTTTTATCTAAATATTTCTAATGAAATATCATGATTTATTATGATTATTTTTCAGACCAGCGTTAAAAGGATAAAGTATATGAACAAATGTACGCACCAAGAGTACGCAAACCGTTTTCTCCATTTTGTTGGACGACACAAGACGATGACAATTTTCGGACCAAATCTGATGTCCTTGGTACAGCACGCAACAAACATTTAATTTAAAGTTAAAAACAAAACTTAAGTTATGAAATTAGCGATGAAAACCTCTATAAAATATTTCTTACTGGTTCAGTAAGCAGTAAATATATATTTCAATACAAATCAAGAAATAAGTTAAATTGTTTTATAAGGTACTTGTCTGAGTAATTTCACTGCACATAATAATATCATCATTGTTTCACAAGCGTAATTATCACTGTCCGATTTCAGGCCAGTAAATAAAAAATACTATAATCTACCCAATTACTGTTCATGCCAAGCTAGTTTAATATACAAAAATAAACGACAGCAAACCATAGCAACAAAACATGCTAAAAACAAATTTAATGGCAACATTATATTTAAAAATAAATTTCGTTCTTTTATGCTCAAAAAAATCTCCAAACCTGAAAGTGACTGATGCGCTGTTGTAGGTACACTGCCACCTACTATCATCGTCATGCCATCTGAAGCTGCGTCATTCATGAGACGTCGAGCTTCCTCTCGGTGTCTTCCAAAATAAAAAACGAAGCAATCTCTTCCATTTTTGATCAAATGATAATTGACAAAAAAGCAAGATTTACTCTCGTTCGTGTCGAAATTTCAAAATATTGCTTTTTAATCTTTGCAATTATACATTTACGAGACAATTTTTTTCTACGTCACAAGCCTATTATAGCTGGTATTAGTCATTCTTTCAACTATATGAGTAATATTATTCGTACTTTTAACTATATGAATATGATTAGCAGTGTGAGAAAAGTTGAAAATATCATAAATCTCTGCTAGAATACAATTTCAAATCCCAACTAACTTTTCACGTTCAACTGCATCTACGGAATCAGTAATTACAGGAGCGATTTGTTGACGTTTTTTCATTAATTCCTCATGACGAGCAGCAACAACAGGTGAAATGGAAATTTCGTTTCCACTGATATTATCAGTTATTGAACGAACTGTTGAGCTTGTTTGTGGAACAACAGTTAAATGTGCGACATATTTGCTAAATAAACGCAAAGGTTAAAATGAAAAAATCGAATATTTTTGGAGGGCACAAAATTTAATAAGAAACTTCACTGGTATATATATATTTTGAGAGTTGCAAAAACTACTATATTTTTTACTAACTTGGCACCATCTGAGTCCGAATCAGAATCGAAAGGATTCGCAAACTTTCGAGGTCGTAGTCGAACATTTTCCGTCAAACTTTCAATTTTGCGAGAGCCTGGTGTTACAGCACTGAATCTCGTGTGATCTTCATCCTGAAAATAATTTTCATAAATTTTTGGAATATATTTATTAACAATGATAATAATAATAAAGTGATGGTTACTGATAACAATAACGATTACAATTATAATTGTATATAAAAGATAAATGATGAATTATAGATTAGTGAATAATAAATAAATAACAACCAAGTAAATAAATAAATAATACAAATAAATAGGTAAATAAACAAATATAATAAATTAAATTAGTAGTAATACAAATCAAATTTATCTTGATAAACCATAAAAATCAATAACTTGTTTTTTCTTCAAAAACTCTGACCTATTTCAGACTATTATTTTATTCCGATGTAAATGCATTAAAACTGAACGCTATGCTCACCGGGATATTAGTCAGGTCAATGGCTTCATCACGCTCACGCTGTCTACGAAGAATTTCGAGTTCCTTCATGACCTTCAAATTCCCAAATTATTTGTAATGCGATAAAAACTTATGTCTTGCTTTCAAAGTTTCCATATTTTATTCTCTATTTTAATTTCTTCAAAATTATAAAGAATGCAATTTTTATTAAAAAATATTGCTACCGAATTCCAGTAAAAGAATTAAATTTTACACTTGTCTCTGATTCCGAAAGATTGAAAAGTGACGATAAGCGATGATCCGATTCTTTTACACTAAGTTCACGTTGAACAGCTGGAATATCGACAAGACGCATTCGTAATTCAGACAGAAAACTTCGTATTTCATTTCGATCCGGCAAGGTAACAACAACACCAGCATCCAGTGTTCTGAAGTCATATAAACAAACGTTGATTTTTACTCTATGACTCCGAAAGATGGCTGGTACCAAATAATTCTCTCTACATTTAGCTTTCTTACACACAACTTATCTATCTAACGCAATTAAGGCTCAACGAGAGAGTACATATTAAATAAATTTTCGAAAAAATATTAAATTGAGAGAATAAAAAACTTCACTTATGCTGAAATGTAGAAATGTTATTACTTTTCAACTCCAAGCAGAGCAGCCGCGCGGAATGCTTTATGACAATTGTCAATGTGACTACTGAGTGAATCTGTGAAATCTAATTTACTGAACGATTCAAACAGGTCTGGACGATAGCGGTGAATAATTGCACAGAACGCAAGACCAGAACGGAAACTCTTTCTGCAGAAAAAAAAAAGAATAATTTTAAGATAATAAATCTTCAGAGTAAACATTTCTGACAAAAAAAATACTACTTTTAATAGCTATCGCGAGATTTAAATACTGTTGATAATTCAATGAATCCAATCCACAATGCGATGTGAGATACGACAGCACTAAACCCAATAAAGCAATAAAGTTTTTAAATAAGTAAAGACGACCATTTTAAAAATCGGATGAATCGATTTGCTTATGATGAATTTGGATAGTAAAGTACTATCAGACATGATGCAGTATGACACCATTATTCTCAACTTAATAAGACATAAATCTAAGCAAAAATAACTTTTAATACAAAGAACATACGTGAAGTCATTTATTTTCACTGATGGATAATCCACAGTTACCCTTTTACACCACTTAAGCAGATCCTCGCCTTCTATAACGTCCGGCAAAGCTTTGGTACCAAAATTTATCTGAAGTTCATCATCAACCTTCGTTTGCAAGCCTATATCGATACTTTCCGCTTCAAATACTTCACAAACGCTGCAAACATTGGAGAAAAAAACCATTATATATTGAAATCACAATAAACAAAAATATTTTAACACTTTTCGTCACCGATTTGAATTTAATAAAATTCTTTTACCAAACTCAAATCATTATTACTCTCACTTAGAGAAATAATTTTTCATTCAGTCATTTGAAAACTGAAGTAAGACCTTGGTTTTGACTCTTTACTTATTTCCACTGCTTCAAGTGCATCACGAGAATCGACCTTTGCGGCTTTACATTTCGCAATTTCTTTACATCCTGAAAATTGTAAATTCTTACAAAAAGAATCAAGTTCAGAATCCAAAAACAATCATTCCAACCCCATATTTTAAAAAGTTTGATGCCTTTGGCAAAAATATTTAGCTAACTTCCGTAAGGAAATGTAGAATTGCAAAAGAATATAAATTTAATTGATATGAGCAGAGAACAAAATTGATCTTAGTCGTAATATCTATATTTATCAGTGTTTCAGAATATAATCAAAATTCTATAAATTTACCTACATTTCCTTACGAAAAAATATAAACGTCAATAACCGGACATCAGAAGTCCTAAAAATTATATATTCTGGAGCATTTAGTTGACACTATGTCGTGGAGGAGGATAAGACAAAAAGAACAAGACTTCTGTTAAAAGACTGAATAAAGCAAATTCGTTTCTATTAATTTAAAAATTTAATGTCATGAACAAGTAGAGAATAAAAATTGATCCCAGCGGCAATATCTTTAGCTATTGTGTCTCAAAATATAAAACATTTGTTTCCTACGAAAAACTACTGTAAGAACATTCACCATCGTAAATGAACAAGAAACATACCCGATCCTTCATCATCCACTTCTGAAGACTTGGAAGTTTCAATCATATTTTCATGACTGTGTTCAAAAAACTTCTCACGTAAATCCATGATAGCGTTACTACTACCAGAAACAACTACTTGCTTTTCGTTCTCATTCGCTTTCCATCCACTAATTTCATTTATGTTCGTTGAATAACTCGACACAATTGCATTATCTGAAGTTAGACGAAATTCAGGCTCGAAGTTAGCTACTTCTGAGCACTGTAATATCAAGTCTACTTCTACAGATTAAAAGCTAAAATGTTTTATTTCACACAATGTCAGACATCTGAACAGGACTCGGTAAATATGAAATAAGGAAATGCTCGGTTTATGATCAGGAACAACGTGAATGAT